AAAAAGGTGATTTATTTTATGTTACAATATAAAGCTGATTTGTCATAGTTAAAGAATTATATTCTTTTCAGCGTATAATTAATTATGTTAATTTTAGTTCACAATTAGTATTACAAATTAATATGTTAAAACTAACTGGACATTTTGGTTATTCACTTTGAACGTTGTGTATTTATATTTAATTTATAAATATGAACGTATAGTATGGATAACAATACATGTAGAAGCAAAAGGGTTGCTACCAAATGGCACGAAGGGATGAAGATACTTGTTTTAGTGTATAGCAAGTGTATGTTTTGCAATCGTTTTGCTTTTTATCGATTGAAGAAAAACTTAATAATACGATTGTCTCAGATGGTGAATTAGTCTTGTGCAAATTGTCTAATGATCTGAATGAGTAGATATTCTCAAATTATAATTTATAAATAAATGGTTTTCAAATAATTGCATTGTAATTTGTGATTAAAAAAAAAAAACAAGATTGACTAAATAGGTGTGCATTAATTTGGCTCTGCACGAAAAAAGCTCGTCTTGTGTGGTCTGGTAGTCTAATGACCGAACGGTAGCTATGAATGCAAAATAAAAACTTTATGTGAGATGTGATAGATTTTGTGATTAAAAAATACACTATCCTACACTATAAATAGTATAATAGTCATAGTATTATAACTACTATCACCACCTATGAGTGAAAACAAAAACCAGTAGATTGAATAGCATTAAAGATTTCTGTTGTAAAAGCTGATTTAATGCTGCCCCATCTATAAGTAAATAGCGAAATAATGCATAATAAAGTACGGAGTTTCACCACTGAGTGCCATCTGTGAATGAAAAACCAAATGTTTCCAAGAGTGGCAGACTTTATTATAATTTTTTTTCCGGTAAGTATTCAACTAATAACGAGTGAACTAAACCACCTAAGCTTCTCAAGCTGGGTAATCGGTCCGGAGGGGGCATAAAACCTTGATCCCACCCCCAAACCCAGTAAGGAAGGTTAGATCATAAGCATGAATGAAGTAATAGATTTTTAAAAACTTGTTTTATAACTCTGAAATTGGTGGCGCCATCTATGATTGGTTAGCTGAACTTTAATTTTAGAAATACAGATTCTATATATTCATACAAATTCATCATTCAACGTCACAGATTCCTGTAAACTGAACAATTATACATTCATTTGTAAATGAATTCAAGGTCATAGAAACAAAATGAATCTGAATATGTTTATGTAATTTAAGATTCATAATTTAGTATAGTAATGCTGGTTCTTTGGAAGTATGAAGTTTGAACTCGGTGGCGCCATCTATGATTGGGTAGCTGAACTTCAATTTTAGGATTACAGATTCCTGTAATAAATTACAGATTCCTGTCCCCTTAAGATTCTTTATTTAAGATTCTTTCTTTCTTTCTTTCTTTATTTAAGATTCTTTATTTAAGATTCTTTCTTTCTTTATTTAAGATTCTTTATTTAAAGGTTTTAAGCTTGTAGGGCTGGATAAATGGGTTAGAAGGNGGCAACCGGTACGGCCACAACTACGACGAAAAGAGTCCCGTCCACGAGCGGAGGCCGAGCTGAGAGGGCTAAAAGACGATTGCACGAGACAGCGAGTGTTTCTAACCAAAGAAAGTTAAAGTTGCATGTCTTTTTTATAGACTTTGATTGCATTTTGACCAATTTGAATTTGGAACGCGTTGAAAAGGGCAAATTCAGACTTCCTTCGAAGGAGAAAGATCGCACAGACAATATCTTAAAAAGAGCATTGGCCGTGGAACAAGGTGATTCGAAAGTACCCTCACTCACTGAAGAACATCCTGATGGAAGCTTTAATCTTCAGCTTTGTGGAATTCAACTACAAAAAACTAAAACAAAATTTAACAATATTTTATTTAGACTCATATTACTTTAACGTGATGGGTAATTATTGTGACTAACACTAGTACTACATAGATATTACAATTTTTTAATAACCAAACTAGACTATTGTTACTAATAGCTAGTGTAGCAGTCATAGATAATGGATATACGAAGGGTAAGCAGTAGTCAACGAGATTTTTCTACATATATATGCCTAGTTACCAGCANTTAAAATGAGCATTGGCCGTGGAGCAAGGTGATTCGAAAGTACCCTCACTCACTGAAGAACATCCTGATGGAAGTAAGGACATTTCTATATTTCTTTTATCTAATTAACTTTTTTCTTATTAACAATTCTTATGGAAAAATTTAATGAACACAAGAAAAAACATGATAAATAAAAGGGTCTTCCTATATTTCTTTGTCAAAAGTGCCTCCGCTATAAACTTAGGTATTTAGCTTTGTTGTAATGTAGAGGAGGTTAATAGTAGTTGTTACAAAGGATATTGTCATTATGTTTTGGTGATTAATGGTGATATAAGCGCCTAATAATGACTTTTTCAATGCGCTACGATATATTTAAGTAACTTCTAAACCTAGAAAAATAAAACCAGGAGGAAAGGTTGTGGTACACTCGAGTTTATTTTATAACGTTTTCCATGAAACAAGTCTTACCCTGCTTTCACACAGACGGTTTTCTAACGGTAACCGTGCCGTGCCGTGCCGTGCCGTAATTTCATTTTGCTTTGCGTTCACACTGCACGCGGTTTTTCACGGTTTAGTTTTGTTTTGATACATGACCAAAATGGACGAAAGAAAAAAACGCATGTTGTTACTAATTATATGGCATAATCGCAGAAAAACACAAAAAACAAGAAGATTTTGGATTCATCCACTACTTGAAAACAGACAATTGATGGGTGAACTTGTAACATTATTTCATGAGCTACGAGAGGATAGCTCCAAATTTTTTAATTATTTTCGAATGTCCATTAGGAGTTTCGATGAATTATGCGTAAAATTGCAAGATGATTTAAAAATTAGTAATAGTCATCAAAATTAATTGACAATGATTACGCTTTATTTAATATCAAGAGGGAAATAAAAAAAAA